CATGTGATCCTCCCTCCTCAGCCTCCCGAGCAGCTGGGACCATAGGCATATGCCACTATGCCTGGCTAATTTTTAAAAATTTTGTGTAGAGATGAGGTCTCCCTATGTTGCCCAGACTGGTCTTGAACTCCTGGGCTCAAGCAATCCTCCTGCCTTGGCCTCCCAAGGCATTGACATTACAGGCATGAGCCACTGCAAATGAACATAACTGGACATTTTTGACTGGGCATATTTATTGCATTATTGTAGAGTTTTACTATATTGAGCATCTATTTTGTCCCATGTGACTATGCTAGGTTTACGTCAATGCACAAAACTGATATGGACTCTCCTCTTATGGAACTTACTTTCTCATGGAGGAAATACACAGTAAGCTATTAAAATAATTGCAAACTGGGTTAAGGGCTAGAAGAAATCAAAAGACTAAAACAGAAAAGAATAGGGGGGGTCCCACTTTAGGTGTTCAGGGAGCCTTCCTGAAGGAGGTGACATTTGAGCTGGGATCAGAAGGCTGAGATGGAGAGACTGGGGGAAAAGCAGTCCAGATGGCAGGAACAGCATGTGCAAGGGCCCTGAGGCAGGGCTGGAAAAGGCTTAGTCTTAAATTGGGTGAGTATGGATCCAGGAGTCCTAGAGCAATCTGAAGAAGAAACTGGGGAAGACGGAAGCACTAGAGCCAGTGCTCAAGGGTGAGACCTGAGCCACAAGTTCAAATCCCCTGTGGGTAGCCAATTGTAGACTATTCTAGACTAGGGGCTTCAGAGGCCTGTGCTACAGTATGGGGATGGCTCAAGGCAATGAGAATACATTGAAAACCATAGAGAGCCCTTCCTGGACCCCAGAGACAGTGCGGGCTCTGAAGGACCTAGATGGCTGCAAATAGATGGGCTTAAGGACACTTTTTCCTCTTCTCTAAGAATGTGGGGTCTGGCTTGGGCCCCTTTTTCTCCATCCATCCATCCATCCATCCATCCATCCATTTATTCATTCAGCAACAGTTGGTTGCTAGGCACTGGGATATAGCAGTGAACAAGACAGACCAAACCCCTGACTCTAGGAACTGTTCCCTCAACACTGGGGGAAGCAAAACCCAAAGCAAACCTCTGCTCAAGACGAACTTCATGTTTTGATGGAGGAGTAGGTATCAGAGGTCTCCTTTTTGAATAGGCAACCTGAGATTTGGGCTCCTGCAGTAGGTTTTTCATTAGATCTTTTCTAGCAGATTCCACTCTTGAGACCAGAGTGCCTTAGCACTTCTGTCCTCTTTCCTGTTGGTGAGAACTTAAACGGAAACACACATACATCTCCCCTTTTAAGGACTGTTAAAGGGCCACCCACAGACATAGGAACACCCAAACACACATACTTCTCTAATCTCCCTAAATCTCCCAAAGGCTGGGGGTGGGGATGCCTCTCTGCTTCCCAGTTAGCTCAGGAGAAGCCAGGCCAGGGGTCTGGGGAGTAGCGATCAGCCTTAGCGCCCACCGCCTCCCTCCATGCTGGGCTGGTCCGGGTCCCCGTCAGTCACTCCCACACCTGGCCTCCCCAGCTGCAGGGAGTGAACGGGTGTGCTGGGCAAACATCCTTGCAGCTTCCTGCTGCTCCCCTCTGAGAAAACAGACCTCTTCTTCCTCCTCTTTCTCCTCCCCACACCCTCCCAGCTGGGGCTTCTCTGGGATCCCAAGCCAGTTCCCTCTAGAGAAGCCAGACATCCCTTCCTCTTAGCCAGAGGAAGGAGGGGACAGCACACAGACCTAGTGTTTCCATCTGGAGAAACGACCTGCTCTCCCTTTGGTCCTTTATCCCAGTTCTTGGAGCCCAGACCCTCTCTCTCGTATGGGCCAAGGGGCTGAAGGACCACAGAGTACAGTGGCTCAAGGGTGGCCACATCAGAAACTGTGGGAGAGTGGGAGGGGCAGGGAGGAGATGCCCCTACATGGGACAGGAAGGGCAGCCCCCTTCTGAGGATCTCTGAGAATCGCATAAACAGAATTGCAGCAACATGAAGGTATCCTTATAGAAAGAAAAATAAAGCAGCCCAGCCACCTCCAAACACACTTGTCTTGACTTTGTGTACTCCCTCTCCTGTCTGTCCAAGTGCATGCGTATTTCTTGCATAGTTGTTTTCAGGGTGAGCATACATTTTGCATTTTGCACAGAGCAACAGAGCATACACAATTTCCGCATGATTTATGGCCTGTATCTGGATTTTTAAGGAGGATAGTGAATATTCTGCTCTCTATTTTCCAGACAGAGAGGCACACAGACACCATCCCTACCCATCCTTAACCCTGGAAATATTTTCCTATCCTCATCCAGAATGAAGAAGTTGGGGGAAGGGTTGGTGTGGGATCTCAGCTGGAAGGGACCTCGGATATGGAGATGGAGGCCCCAGAAAAGGAAAATGACTTGCTGTGTTCACAGAGCAACTCCTAGCTGAGCAATTCTCACTATCACCCCCATCCAGTCTCTATGGATCAAACCAACGATGAACGTTTCATGCCAGGCGTTGTGCTACATTAACCTTCACTTTAATTTTCTCTCGAAATGCCTACAGTAATGCTATGGTTCTAATATTTCCATTTTTCAGATGAGGAAACCAACCCCCAGAAGAAGAAGTCACTTTTGGCCGGGCGCGGTGGCTCAAGCCTGTAATCCTGGCACTTTGGGAGTCCGAGGTGGGTGGATCATGAGGTCAGGAGATCGAGACCATCCTGGCTAACACGGTGAAACCCCGTCTCTACTAAAAATACAAAAAAAATTAGCCGAGCGTGGTGGCAGGTGCCTGTAGTCCCAGCTACTTGAGAGGCTGAGGCAGGAGAATGGCGTGAGCCCGGGAGGCGGAGTTTGCAGTGAGCCAAGATCTCGCCACTGCACTCCAGCCTGGGCGACAAAGCAAGACTCCATCTCAAAAAATAAATAAATAAATAAATAAATAAATAAATAAATAAAGTCACTTTTCTGAATTCTCCCGCTGGCTGGTGACAGAAACACAGACAGAATTAAATCTCTTGATTCCCAGCCCAAGAGTCCTTTCTCTCTTTCTTTAGGCACCCCATCTTCTCCCGCTGCCTCTCCTGGCCCTGCCCAGGTGCAAGATCAGGAGCCTCCCCAGCAGGGCTTTTCCTCCCCAGTGTCCCAGTGCTGGATCCCACTGTCTGGTCGTGCCTCCTTTCCTGTGCTGGACCAAGGCCCAGATGAGCAGCTGGGGACGCAGGGCTGAATGGAGCAGCAGGAAGAGGCTGCGGGCGGCTGAGTTCATTCAGAAGAAAGCCCAACTCAGAGCTTCCAAGGGCCAAGGGAAGCTTACCGCAGGGCTCTACTGCCCTCCTTGACTTCAAGGGTCTGAGCTCTGACAAACCTCTTTCCCTCTGACTAGTGTCTTTTACCAACCTCAAGAGAAGGTGTGGATCCCCTGATCCCTGCTGCTTTATTCCTGGGATCTGTGCCAGAACCATCTGTAGGAAGACCTGATCCAACATCTCCCCCATTTTACAGACAAAGAAACTGAGGCCCAGGGAGGAGATCCAGTGGTATGGGCCAGGCTCACAGGGGAAGCAGAGCCAGGACTAGACACCAAGTCTCTCTGCGGTCAGTGCAAGCCCTCTCCCCTTGTACCCTTGTTCTGTCTGATGAATTATGCTCTCTCTGCCTGGGACAAGGGGCCTTCCTCAGAGCGCACAGTGACCAGGATGTCCTGTTTAATGGAGAACAGGGAGACCTCAGTCCCCATGCCTCCTTGACTCTGGCTCCTGTCCCTTGGCCTGGCTCCTCACCGTCAATCTAGTGGCCTGGGACAGTTTAGGTGGAAGTCCAAGATGCTGAAGTCCTCTAAGGACTTGGCTTTTGCCTGGCCAGGTTTATCTTGGTCCTGGGAGGTAGAGATCAGCAGGTAAAGAGTCTCAAGTGCTTGATCACAGGGTGTGTGTATGTGTGTGTGTGTGTGGTGTGTACAGGCATGCACATGCAACTGGTGGTTCACTGAAGAGGGGGCTCCCACTAGATTCCCCAACAATCCACATTTCATCTAGGCAGGCCCTTCTGAACCTAAATATTTTCTCCCATTCTAAGCCCATGCCCCTCCCCCATCAAGGCCTTAGGGCTGAGCCTGAGAGAGGGAGGGAGGGAAGAAGAGAGAGAAGCCACGTTTCCTTAGGGAGGGAGGGGAAGAGTGAGAAAGAGGAGAAAGACAAGCTCACAGTCGGACCTAGTCAAGAAGACATAGGGAGAGGGAGAGAGAAAGTCAGCCAGACTCCAGGAACAGAGGGACAGAGCAGAGATCTAGAGGCAGATGGAGAGAAAGGGCTCCCATCCTCCTGAGCCAGCGCCCTGTGTTGCCCTGACTGCCTCCCCCCAGCCCCCAGCCTCAGGTCCCTCCCTGGGGGGGTCTCTGGCCCTGATTCCCTGGGGCTGCCATGGTAGCACCCTGAAGTTTCCGGGCCTGGCTGAGAACCCGGGTCTGGCTCTGATCCCCGAGGGGCGTCGGGTCTCAGACCCTCAGAACGCTCCCGGGTCCGCCTCCCAGCGGAGGTCCAGCCTAAGAGCCACAGAAGCCCCAAGGGAGGCGCAGGAAAGGGCGCTGCCACTTTGCGCCCAGTCTGGTCCTGGAACCTGGGGTGGGTTGGGACGGCTAGAAGACGTGGGTGGAGGGCGGGATTGGCGTCTCTTGAGCTCAGATCCAAGGATCGGACGGCCCCGATACCTCGATGGCCCCTTCCCCTAGAAGGTGGAGGCCAATGTGTTCAAGGATTGCGCCCCCAGGAGGGGCGCGCACTGGCACCAGCTCCGAGGCTTAGGTCAGGCGGGGGTCCAAGGGAGGTGTCGAGGGACCTACTCGTCAAATCTCGGAGCTCCAAACACATGTCGCTCCGGGAGACCCTGCGCTGAACCCTTTCCCCGCTCCTGCCCAGTGATGTGTAGTCGGGTCCTTCTAGGGGCCCAGGCGCGCCGCGAAGAAGGGTGCCAAGGCGTGGAACGGGAACGGAGACCCTTCATCTTACCGCATTGTTGAGGAAGTCCGACTCGTTCAGATCCCCCAAGTCCAGGAAGCTGGATCCGGGGAACAGCCTGTCGGCCGGGAATGGTTCCAAGACGGCGTCCATCGCGGCTGGCTCCCGGGACCCCCTTCGACTGGGCTTCCCTCACTCCAGGGCGGCGGCGCGCCCAGTCCAGAGCTCCTGCCTGAGCGCTGGCAAGCGGGCGGGGGGCAGGTCCGGGGCGAAGCCCCGGGGGAGGGGCAGACGGAGGCGGCGCGGCCCCGGGTGGGGGGCGCGGGGGGCGCGGGGGCCTTAGGGCAGCGGCTAGGAGCGGGATGGGCTCAGGGGCCCCGGGCGCACTGTGGGCATTCAGCCGACTCCACCTCCTCCTGCTCCTCCTGGGGCACAGCTGGCTTCCATGGGGAGCCCGGGGGTGGGGCTGAGGGCTTGAGGAGCCCCCCGGACAGGGTGGGAGCCGGGGCGGGGGAGCTAAGCGCTCCCCCGAGACTGGGTGGCTGCCGGCCTCTCCGCTGTCTCTGCTTCTCCCTCCGCACCGCTTCTGTCACTTTCCTCTCTGTGAAACCGGGAACCCCTGGCTGGCTAGCCCAGCTGGCCAAGGCGCCACGCCCCCACATCAATATTCACAATAATTTAATATTAATGAGAAGAGGGCGTGGCTCGAGGAATCCTCTCTCATTTTTTAAAGAGACATCTGCAACTTCGTCTTCCTTAGTCATCTGTCTTCTCTGAATGCTCAAGGTGGGGGCTTAAAGCAACAATAGTCCTGGAACCGATAACAGTGTTCTTGGAACATTGGCATTTTGTTAAGGTTTCACCAACCACTGTCCCATAAATTGATGAGGGAGCTATTTCCATCCTTCCAGCCTTATGCTAAAACCTGCACCAAACCCAGTCAGGGAATTCCATTTAACAGTCGCCTCAACAGATCTCCCCTCAACGGGGGAGATTTTCAGCTTTTTAAACAATTTATTTATTTATTTATTATTATTATTTTTTGATATGGAGTTTCGCTCTTTTTGCCCAGGCTGGAGTGCAATGATGTGATCTCGGCTCACTGCAACTTCTGCCTCCCATGTTCAAGCGATTCTTCTGCCTCAGTCTCCCGAGTACCTGGAATTACAGGCACGCCCCACCACACCCAGCTAATTTTTGTATTTTTAGTAGGGACAGGGTTTCACCACGTTGGCCAGGCTGGTCTCGAACTCCTGACCTCAGGTGATCTGCCCAACTTGGTCGCCCAAAGTGCTGGGATCACAGGTGTGAGCCACCACACCTGGCCGATTTTCAGCTTGTAACTCTCATTTCTCATCTGACATGTGTCTTCCTCCAGGAAGCCTTCTCTGAATCCCCAGGCTGGGGCAGTTACCAACGGTATACACCCACAGGGCATCATGTGCTCACCTCTGCTGTTTCCAGTCTAATGTGGTATTGTCTTTGTTTGCTCACATTGTTTGTGTCTGTGACCCCACTAAGCTGTGAGACTGCTCAGGGCAAGGACTGTCCCCAGCTTCCCTGTGTGTGAAAGGGCTGGGTGAACAGCCAGAGATAGGAGAGTACTCCTCTTCTCCTTGATAGTCAAGTCCCTCCCCATCCCTCAATGGTTCTGAAGAGGAGGAAGTTGGAAAACAGTGGTTCTGGAATCTGAATGAGCCAAGGTGCTTGCTGGCTGCACACTCCACAGTCACCAGACACTCCCGGGGCCCCGGGATCCATTACCTAAGTGACTTGCTCCTGCGTACAAACTTAATCTCTCAAAAGGGCTGATAACAATCGCCAAGCACCTGAACAAATGGAGGTGGTTCAGAAAGGCACTCCCTCAGAGGGCTGGGCACACTGTTTCCTGACCAGAAGTCATTAATAAGATTAAGTGTGTCCTCCCTGTCTGGGACATTTAATTAGCTCAGGAACCAAAAGGCCTTTAAGAAGTAGAGATGTCATTGCAGCTAAGCTATGGATGTCACCAAAATTGCTCTCAGTGCCAGGTGGGAGAAGGGCTCATACCAAGGCTGACACAGCAGTTGTTTGCTTGCCTGGCAGGCGGGCAGGCACGTGGCTTTTCCCCACCTTATGGTCTAGTTGACATAGTTCTGGAGAGTGAAGTTCTGACCTTCCAGGCTGTCACGTGACTATTAGCTCCCAGGCCTCCTGGAGAATTTGTTCTTGAGAAGTAGGATTATAACCCATGTTCTGGGGACCAGTTCACCAGCCATGCACCTCCGAGAAGTAAGGCTGGGCCAAAAAGAAATCAATTCACGTTCACAACAGTGGCGGGTAGAATTAAGGTGCTGGGACCATGGTGTCTTCCCCAAATGTGTCATATCTGGCCAAATGGGGACCATTCAAACACTGGGATGTGGCTGATACTTCTCAGGAGGAGGGGAGGGGTCTCTGGCTGGGTGAACAGGCCAGGCTGTCGTGAGTGAGCTCCAGCAGCAGGTGTCTGGAGTCCTGGCTACTGAGCTGGAGTCCCTGCAGGCCCCCAGGAGGAGCAAAAGTGGCCCCCTGCCTGAGGTTGGCTGGAAATTGTGCCTGTGTTCCTCCCAGCCTGCTCTGTAATTAGAGACACAGGTACCATTTAAGTGATTGGGGAAGATTATATAGTTTTAGATAAGTAGGATTAGAGTGTCCTCTCTTTCCTTATTCTTACCCAGGTGAACACCCCAGGAAACCATTGAAAATAATCCTGGGGAGACATTCCGGTTCCGGCAGCTTCTGTGGAGTCTGAGAGGCAGAATCTCCCAAGAGAAATCCTGGGGAAACCGGTGGCAGGGGGAGGAGGGAGACCAGGCATCGTAGAGCCGGGCACACAGAGGAATGTGATCATTTTCTTTCCAGAATGAAGAGGATGGCAAAGTCCAGCAGAGATGAGGATGATTGCAGATTTATTCACACATTCTATAAGCATTATTGAGTACCTACTGTGAATGGTTCCCAGACCAGGCACTAGAGATACAACGGTGATTAAGAACCTAGATCCCAGAGTAAATGTAGTTGCACAGAGGTGGGTGGGTGGGTGGAGGAAAGTATGGGTAAAAAGAATGTTAAGAAGATGATTTTAGAGCATGGTAAGGACTATGAAAAAATAAAATAGTGTGATGTGACCCTGTGGGTAAGGAAGGCCTCTCTGAACAGGCCACATGTGAACTGAGAACTGAATCAAGAACTGGGGTCATTTATAGGGCGCAATGCAGGGAAAAGCATTCTAGGCAGAGGGAACAGCAAGTAAAAGAGAAAGAGGAGGAAGACTGGACTGGGAAGAACAGGCAGTGGCACAGGAGTGAGATGATGAGGGTGAAAACCCAATGCCTTACACAAACCCGGTACTTATGGCCACACTGAAGCCCAGGCTCTATTCTGTGCCAGGACTGGAAAGAACTGTGCCCATCTGAAGTCTTCCGTAGGGTGTGGTCGGCTGCGCATCCCTTCTCTCTTGTCTATTAAAGATTTTCCAGGAGACAAAATGAGATGTCTCCCTGGGTCTTAAGTCTGCCTTCTGACCCAGCAAGGAGGGTTTGCTCCTTCTCTCCCAGTTCTTGGGCCTGGTCCCACAACCCAACCCCCTACCCAGGCCCCTCCTCTACATCTGAAGGAGTTAGGGGATGGAGGCCAATGTTGGCTCTGCAAACACCACCTCCACAGGCCCAAATACTGCGGGTCACGAGAGGCACTGATGGCAGTCCCTTCTCTGATGGGCTCAGGAACACCTGGTTGTTGCTCTCCAGGAGCTGTTCCAACTGCGAAGCAAAAGCTTCATGTGTAAAGACATCCCAACGCAGTCAATGACGCACAGGAGAAAGAGGACAGAGATAAGCTTCTTGCCTGTTCCAGACACTGAAGATCAGGCAGAAAGAGAGGCTCCTGCCAGGCTGAGCTGTGAGTAGAATGGGGTGTGTGTGTGTGTGTGTGTGTGTGTGTGTAGAGCCACTGCCCTTCGTTGGGTCTCAGTTTCCATAGCTATAAAATGGGCCAGGTGTTGATGCCCTCTAGGGTTTCATCCTCTCCAAGGATCTTCCAATGTTCCCTTTCCAGGACAGGGCCTGGGGAGCAGGCATAGGGGTGGGGGGAGTGTGAAGGGCCTCCCTGGTCAGGAGGCCTGGCACTTTGATTTTCCAGGCTTCTGCCCAGAGCCTCCAGGAGGGTGCAAAGCTGGTGTTTACACTCGGTAGGCAGGCCCTGGGTGGTGGTAATAAGGTCACCCAAAGTAAACCTGTCTTGTTTGCCTGGGTTGTAAAGGGAAAAATGCTTTGGCACACTCTAACAGGAACTTCTGAGAAATGAAAACATATTCATCCTGGAGATTAAACTGACTTCCGGGGTGCAGACGGGGCCCTTTGTTCTCTTGCAGCTCCCTAAAATGGGCTGCATGGCTGCTTTCCCTGTACCCCCGACTGGAGCTGGACATGGAGCCTGAGGTGGCACCTTGCCAGGAACAGGGTGGGTTTCAGAACCCCAACTCTCACTCAGTTTAGGTCTCTCCTTTCCACCCCTTTGGCCTGTGATCCCTTCCCACCCAACCCTGAACCATAAAAATACCGGACGTTTACTAGTACTTGCTCTGTGCCAGGCACTAAATACTTTATGTTATCTTGTTTAATTCTTGGAACAAGCTTGTGAGATAAGTACCGTCTTTCACTGATTCTGAGATGCACATTTCTTCGCCTGTTTTAACATCTCTGAAGTCAGAATGTGTCCTACAATCGATGGTATGTCACAGTTTAATGGATGGTGTTTTTTTCCTTCCTGAAGTACATAAAATAATGGTGTATCATGTAATTGGTGACACCTTAGAATTGGCATATTATTATTATCATCCCCAATCTGCAGATGAGAAAACCAAGGCTCAGAGAGTTTGTATGACTTGCCACTTCTTTGTTTTATGGAAAACCAAGGCCTGGGGCCATCAGAGGCTTGCCTTAGGTCATCCAGCCTCATGAGGCAGAGATAGGACTGAAACCAGGGCCTCCCTGCTCCGCACCCGGAGCCCTTTCCACTCACCCCAGATGAACTGAATTTGCTCACTGGGGAGAGGCAGGAGCTGAGGGGAGGGCCTTCCTCCAGGGCCTTCCATAGCAGCGGGTGAATCACCAACCACCCTGCCTTGGAGAAAGGCCTTAAGATAGATTTTTTTTCCTCTTTAAATTCTCTGAAGACTGAAGTTCCTTAAGGACTAAGAAAACACTTGCCTCCCTTCCAGCTCCTTTTCCTGGTAATTATTTTTGCTTCTTTTCCCTGAATTTCTGCTCTGCCGTCCCATCTTTGGACTGGAAGCGGGCCCGCCCCTTGGCCCTCTGTCTGCCTGCCATCTGGGAAACAGCTCCACCCGCTTCCTGCTTTGCTCTCCTCCTGTTCTCAAGTCACCCTTCTCCCCTCCAGCCTGAATCACCTGCTCCAACTCCGCTTCTAGACATCTCTAGAACGCAGCCACCTGGCTCCCTCCCCAGAAGACACACACTCTGGCATCCCACCGCCCTCCATCTCCCTTGCTCTTAAAGTCTCCAGTAATGGGAGAGAAACCAACAGAGCCGCTTGTTTCCTCCTGCCTTGAGTCCTCATATTGTTGGGGACACTCCCCTACAAATCCTGCCCCACC